AAATCCATTATTTTGTGACAACTTTTCAATTCATATAAAAGTCTTGTGTTTTCAGTCATTAACTCTTCAAACAAATCATTGATTAGTATTTTAGCCATAATTTCATTAAAAATGAAATCAAAACTTAATTATGATTTCAATTGTATTTCAATTCAATTCAATTGTGGACTAAATTGTGACCAAAAGTGAATGTTTGTAAACACGGCTCACATAACAAACCATTCATTAATAACGTATACAATAAGTATAAAAACTTTTGAGTAGAAAATGAGATTTTATTTTACTTTAAATTAAACCTTAAATAAATTGCTATTTAATAATAATAATTAATAAATTATAATATTTACAAAAAACACATTAATATAATTTATTTATTGATAGGAATGAGTCCTTCAGTGGTCTTATACTTATGGACTTGTCTTAAGTGTTGTCTCGCAGAGGGTTTGGATGTGAATGTCTTATCGCAACCCTCGACCGGACACTCGACCACTCGTAGGCCCTGATGTGAGTTCATGTGGTCCGCGAGCTTGTCTTTGGAGCCGTAGCGTCGGTCACATGCGGGCCAACTGCACACAAATGGCAGAGTGTGTTGGCGTTTGTGTTGATATAATCCATGATTAGTGACAAACCCTTTACCACAACCCTCTCTATCGCAGACATACTGTTTCACTGCCAGATGTGTCTCTTTGTGGCGTCTAATCATCGATAGGTCTTTATAGGCGGCCCCACACGCGGGCCAATCACACACATAGGGTCGGGCGCCGGAGTGCCTTTGCTTGTGTTTATACAGATCGCCCTTATTATTAAATCGTAGGTCACATTCATCGCACGGATATTGTCGCAGCTGTTCATGTGATTGCATGTGAACCTTAAGACAACCTTTGGTGCGAAAAGCGGAGTCACAGCCAACCCATGAGCACCGGTACTTCCGACTGTCCTCCGTATGGATCTTCTTGTGCTCCCGAAGACACCTCTCCGTAGGGAATGTCTTGTGGCAGACGTCACACCCGAACGGCCGCTCCATTGTATGTCTGACCCGAATGTGTGCCAAAAGTTTTTCACTTTCGCCAAACGTTTTCTCACATCCAATGTATTCACACATAAAATGTTTAGATCTGAAGGGCTTTCCCTTCGCGTCACGCGTTCTGTCTTTATATTTCCTCTTCAGTGGTGTTGTCGGGGTTTCACCACTTTTTCCGCTTTTAACGTATTTTCTCTTTTTCTGAACACTTTTGTCATCCATTTCTTCATTACTTAAAGTCTGTTCCCATTTGTGGTCAGAATTATCGTCCGATTCATCGCTTATTTTCTTCTCTTGCTTTTTATATCTCTCTTTTGTTGTTGTCTTCGCTTTATTGCCATTCAATGTCTTCTTTGGTTCACTTCTTGTGTCCAATGATTGTATGAGTTGTCGGACACTGTGTTTGTTGTCATCTCTGGAAGTGATGTCTTCGGGCACTGGATGTGCATCGAGTGATGTGTTGAATGACTTGATATCATGTGTGAAAGTGTGGTAAATGTGTGTCAATTGATTCCACGTGTGTTTGTGTCCACTATTTTGAGGACAAATACAGTTTGCATTCAAACTAATCACGAATTGTCTGTACTTTTCAAACAAATCCATTATTTTGTGACAACTTTTCAATTCATATAAAAGTCTTGTGTTTTCAGTCCAGAGCTCTTCCAACACATCATTCACTCCTATTTTAGGCATAATTTTAATACAAATGAAACCAAAACTTAATTATGATTTCAATTGTATTTAAATCTCAATTCAATTCAATTGTGGACTAAATGTTTGCCAACATATGTTCCGTCAAAACAACAAACCATTCATTAATAACGTATACAATAGTAATCCTTTTGCGACCAAAGTTTGATTGTATTATAACTTTTTAATGATTTAAATATAAATAAATTTACTTTATTTTCACATAATATACACGAAATTAAACATAATATCACAAAAATAATGATAACATTTGAACTACAATTTAATTACTGATAGGTATGAGTCCTTCAGTGGTCTTATATTTGTGGACTTGTCTTAAGTGTTGTCGCGCACAGGGTTTGGATGTGAATGTCTTATCGCAACCCTCGACCGGACACTCGACAACTCGGAGGCCCTGATGTGCGTTCATGTGGTCCTGGAGTCGGTTATTGGATGGGAAGCGTCGGTCACATGCGGGCCAACTGCACACAAATGGCAGAGTGTGTTGGCGTTTGTGTTGCTTTAAAAGATGGTTATTAACAAACCTTTTACCACAACCTTCTATATTGCAGACATACTTTCTAACTCCCAGATGTGTCTCTTTGTGGCGCTTAAGCATATTTAAGTCCTTATACGTGGCCTCACACGCGGGCCAATCACAAGTGTACGGCCGGGCAGTCGAGTGTACGGTATTCTTGTGGGCCTGAAGACTCCGCTTTTGGTTAAATCGTGAGTCACATTCATCGCACGCGTATTGCCGGAGCTGTTCATGTGATTGCATGTGATTGGAAAGTTGCTGATTGGTCCGGAAAGCGGAGTCACAGCCAACCCATGAGCACACGAATGGCTTCGCGGTGTCCGTATGTAACCGCTGGTGAGTCTTTAGACGACTCTGAGTGGGGAATGTCTTGTGGCAAACGTCACACCCGAATGGCCTCTCCTTTGTGTGTGTGATCCGAATGTGTGCCAAAAGGTATTCCCGTTCGCGAAACCGTTTATCACATCCACTGTAATGACAGACAAAAGCTTTTTCTCGAATGTAATTATATTTCTTCTTTGGTGTTCGCGGGAAGCGCTTAAAGCCCTCCGAATGCATCTTCTGATGCGCCCGAAGACACCGCTCAGTGGGATATGTCTTGTGGCAGACGTCACACCCGAACGGCCGCTCCATTGTATGTCTGACCCGAATGTGTGCCAAAAGTTTTTCGTTTTCGGCGAACTGTTTCTCACATCCGATGTAATCGCAGATAAAATTTTTCGGTCGAAAGCACTTCCCATTCGCAAAAAGAATTGTCTTCTCTTTATATTTCCTCTTCAGTGGTGTTGTCGTCGAGTTTTCACCACTTTTTTCGCTTTTCTTAACGTATTTTCTCTTTTTCTTCACATTTTTGTCATCCATTTCTTCATCACTTAAAGTCTGTTCCCATTTGTGGTTAGAATTATCGTCCGATTCATCGCTTATTATCTTTTGTTTATTATATCTTTTCTTTGTTGTTGTCTTCGCTTTATTGCCATTCAATGTCTTCTTTTGTTCACTTCTTGTGTCCAATGATTGGATGAGTTGTCGGACACTGTGTTTGTTGTCATCACTGGAAGTGATGTCTTCGGGCACTGGATGTGCATCGAGTGATGTGTTGAATGACTTGATATCATGTGTGAAAGTGTGGTAAATGTGTGTCAATTGATTCCACGTGTGTTTGTGTCCACTATTTTGAGGACAAATACAGTTTGCATTCAAACTAATCACGAATTGTCTGTACTTTTCAAACAAATCCATTATTTTGTGACAACTTTTCAATTCATATAAAAGTCTTGTGTTTTCAGTCCAGAGCTCTTCCAACACATCATTGATTAGTATTTTAGCCATAATTTCATTACAAATCAAATTAAAATTTAATTATGATTTCAATTGTATTTAAATCTCAATTCAATTCAATTGTGGACTAAATGTTTTGTCAACAAATCTGTCAAAAGTTTTGACTCAAAACAACAAACGATTCATTAATAACGTTTGCAATAGTAATGCTTTTATTACAATTTTTGTAACCAAAGTTTGATTTAATATAATTTTTGCTAAATATTTATTATTTAAATGCAAATAAATTATCTTTAATTTCACAAAATATAAATATATATTAAATTTGAATAACAATTTATTTCTTGATAGGAATGAGTCCTTCAGTGGTCTTATATTTGTGGACTTGTCTTAAGTGTTGTCGCGCACAGGGTTTGGATGTGAATGTCTTATCGCAACCCTCGACCGGACACTCGACAACTCGGAGCCCTTGATGTGAGTTCATGTGGTCCTGGAGTCGATCATTAGAGGGGAACCGTCGGTCACATGCGGGCCAACTGCACACAAATGGCAGAGAGTGTTGGCGTTTGTGTTGATATAAATACTTTTTAGTAACAAACACTTTACCACAACCCTCTCTATCGCAGACATACTGTTTTAGTGCCAGATGTGTCTCTTTATGGCTTTGAATCAACGTTGAGTTCTTATACGTGGCCTCACATGCGGGCCAATCACACACATAGGGTCGGGCATCCGAGTGCCGGCACTTCTTATGCGATTGTAGATTACTTTTGGTGTTAAATCGTTGGTCACATTCATCGCACCCGTATTGCCGAAGTTGTTCATGTGATTGCATGTGAACCTCAAGACAACTTTTGGTGCGAAAAGTGGAGTCACAGCCCATCCACGAGCACCGGAACCGCTGCTTGTCTTCCGTATGGATCTTCTGATGCGTCCGAAAACGCCTCTCCGTAGGGAATGTCTTGTGGCAGACGTCACACCCGAACGGCCTCTCCATTGTATGTCTGACCCGAATGTGTGCCAAAAGAAATTCACTTTCGGTAAACCGTTTGTCACATCCAATGTATTCACAAATATAAGGTTTCGGTCGAAAGCGCTTCCCATTCGCCGAAAGAATTCTCTTCTCTTTATATTTCTTCCTCAGTGTTGTTGTCGTTGTCTTCATGTAATCACTTGAAGTCTGTTGCCGATTGTGGATCTTCTGATGCGCCCGAAGACACCTCTCCGTAGGGAATGTCTTGTGGCAGACGTCACACACAAATGGCCGCTCCTTTGTATGTTTGACTCGAATGTGTGCCAAAAGAAAGTCGCTTTCGGTGAACCGTTTATCACATCCAATGTATTCACAAATATAAGATTTCGGTCGAAAGCGCTTCCCATTCGCCGCAAGAATTCTCATATCTTTATATTTCTTCTTCAGTGGTGTTGTCTTCACGTTTTCACCACTTTTTTCGCTTTTCTTAACGTATTTTCTCTTTTTCTGAACGCTTTTGTCATCCATTTCTTCATCACTTAAAGTCTGTTCCCAATTATGGTCAGAATTATCGTCCGATTCATCACTTTTTCTCTTCTTTAAGTTTTTATGTCTCCCTTTTGTTGTTGTCTTCGCTTTATTGCCATTCAATGCCTTCTTTGGTTCACTTCTTGTCTCTTCTGTTTGAATGAGTTGTCGGACACTGTGTTTGTTGTCATCTCTGGATGTGATGTCTTCGGGCACTGGATGTGCATCGAGTGATGTGTTGAATGACTTGATATCATGTGTGAAAGTGTGGTAAATGTGTGTCAATTGATTCCACGTGTGTTTGTGTCCACTATTTTGAGGACAAATACAGTTTGCATTCAAACTAATCACGAATTGTCTGTACTTTTCAAACAAATCCATTATTTTGTGACAACTTTTCAATTCATATAAAAGTCTTTTGTTTTCAGTCAATAACTCTTCAAACAAATCATTGATTAGTATTTTAGCCATAATTTCAATACAAATAAAACCAAAACTGAATTATGATTTCAATTGTATTTAAATCTCAATTCAATTTGTGTCCAAATGTTTGCCAACATATCATATGATCCGTCAAAACAACAAACTATTCATTAATAACGTATACAATAGTAATACTTTTGCGATCAAAGTTTGATTTATTATTACTTTTTAATGATTTAAATGTAAATAAATTTACTTTAATTTCACATAATATATACGAAATTCAACATAATATCACAAAAATAATATCGCATTTAAACTACTATTTAATTATTGATAGGAATGAGTCCTTCAGTGGTCTTATATTTGTGGACTTGTCTTAAGTGTTGTCGCGCACAGGGTTTGGATGTGAATGTCTTATCGCAACCCTCGACCGGACACTCGACCACTCGTAGGCCCTGATGTGAGTTCATGTGATCCTGGAGTCGGTTATTGGATGGATAGCGTCGGTCACATGCGGGCCAACTGCACACAAATGGCAGAGAGTGTTGGCGTTTGTGTTGCTTTAAAAGATGGTTATTAACAAACCCTTTACCACAACCCTCACTATCGCACACATACTTTTTAACTCCCAGATGTGTCTCTTTGTGACGCTTAAGCATATTTAAGTCCTTATACGTGGCCTCACACGCGGGCCAATCGCAAGTGTATGGCCGTGCAGTCGAGTGCACTGTATTCTTGTGAGCCTCAAGACCCCTCTTGAGATTAAATCGTTGGTCACATTCATCGCACGCGTATTGCCGGAGCTGTAGATGTGATTGCATGTGATTGGAAAGAAACTGATTCGTACGGAAAGCCGAGTCACAGCCAACCCATGAGCACACGAATGGCTTCGCAGTGTCCGTATGTAACCGCTGGTGAGTCTTTAGATACCTCTCCGTAGGGAATGTCTTGTGACAGACGTCACACCCGAATGGCCTCTCCTTTGTATGTCGGACCCGAATGTGTGCCAAAAGGTATTCCCGTTCGCTAAACCGTCGCTCACATCCGCTGTAATGACAGATAAAAGCTTGTCCTCGAATGTAATTATATTTCTTCTTTGGTGTTCGCGGGAAGCGCTTATAGCCCTCCGAATGGACTTTCTGGTGAACCCGAAGACACCGCTCCGTGGGATACGTCTTGTGGCAGACGTCACACCCGAACGGCCGCTCCATTGTATGTCTGACCCGAATGTGTGCCAAAAGTTGTTCGTTTTCGGCGAACTGTTTCTCACATCCGATATAATCGCAGATAAAATTTTTCGGCCGAAAGTACTTCCCATTCGCCGAAAAAATACTCTTCTCATTATATCTTCTCTTCGGTGGTGTTGTCGACGGGTTTTCCCCACTTTTTTCGCTTTTCTTAACGTATTTCCTCTTTTTCTTCTCATTTTTGTCATTCATTTCTTCATCACTTGAAGTCTGTTCCCAATTGTGGTCATAATTATCATCCGATTCATCGCTTATTGTCTTTTGTTTATTATATCTTCTCTTTGTTATTGTCTTCGCTTTATTGCCATTCAATGTCTTCTTTGAAACATTTGATTCACTTCTTGTGTCCTCTGTTTGTATGAGTTGTCGGACACTGTGTTTGTTGTCATCTCTGGAAGTGATGTCTTCGGGCACTGGATGTGCATCGAGTGATGTGTTGAATGACTTGATATCATG